GGTTCATGCCATATATCTTCAGTTAGCCTTCAGTGTTGCCAAGAAACACTATTAAGTTCCTCACAGTAGCTGCTGTAAAACTTTCTCATTTTATTCAAGATTTACCCTTAAATATTCAAGAAGAAACCACGACAAATCTGGGAGAAAGTGACAATGATATCTGTATGCTCATGACATCCTGGAAAGAGAAGCTGGAACTGTAAACTCCAGACTTTAGGATACCAGATTTCCCAGAGGTCTGAGAAAATATAGGCATGAATTCCACTGCAAGAGTTTCTAAAGGGAAAGATGATTTAAGAGGGTTGGGAAGTTCTTAAAACTGTAAATCTGATTATATAATTTCAGATCATTCCAGCGAGGAAGCCAATGTGGCTTTTTAATTATCCTGGACCAGAGTCTAGTACTAAATATTAAAGGTACTAAATATGTTGTGATGTATAACAAAAAACAGTGATCCCTAAAAGCTAGCAAGGGCTCACTTGGGTTTTGATAGCATTACAGAACTAAGATTCATAAAAATGTGGTAGATGTGATATATAGAGAGGTGAACAAGGTTCAAATGAGATCTCTCATGACAATTCTAAGAACAAGATAGAAAATAATAACAACTAGAAGTCTCCAATGTTATAATACTCTTTGAGCTGCCCCTAAATGGTGGCCCCAAGGCAGCACTAGGGTGTCAGAGAAGCAATGCTTACGGCAAAGAGGAGGCCGAGTTCCATGTCCTCCCTAAGGATCCTTCCAAAGCTACTAACATCATATATTCCATTAATGTGTGCATTCTATTCAATTTTTTTGTTAAATATCTGTGCCTTCTCAATTTGGCATTCTCCACCTGAGTTTTTATACTTGTTGTATGCTATTGTCAAGCATGGACTCTGAAGTCATAGAACCTTAGTTCTCATCATTTTCTGTTCCAAATTACTCCTTGTGTGTTTTCTAGCTTGAGTCATGGTGCAACATCTTCCTAGTCAACCTGGCTCAAGATATTGGGGTCATCAATTCATTTCCATCTACTCATCTGACCAGTCAGCAAATGTTCACTAAGTGTCCTTGTCCTGAAGGAGCTCATGGCCAAGTAAAACAAACAAGCAATTGCAATCCAAACAGATGAGAGCTCTAATAATAGTACTAATAGAAGCTATGGGAGCACCAAAACAGAGGACTGTGAGTCAAGGAACATTTTTTGAGTGGACAACTGAGTTGAGTTTAAAAGTTGAGTATTTCACCAAGCAAACACTAGAGAAAGGAGAAAGCCACTGTTAGGAAAGGAAGTGTAACGTGCAAAAGTTTGGAACTATGAACATACACAGTCAACTTGGGAAATGGCAAGTTGGATTTCTGATAGTGAAGACCATGGAAGGAACTGAGATGGATCCCAGTGAATTGTGGTTAAATGCCATCAGCATCCACCCATTCCCCCTAGTCAGAGCCCTGAAAGTTCATCCAAGATTCCATCCTTCTCCCTCATGCCCCATTTCTAATTAGTCATCACATCTGGGAAAATTTACCTTCTTAATCTCCCCTGAATATTTTCATTTCTTTTGTTTCCTCCATTGCAACTCTTTATTTCAGGTTCTCCCATCTCATCTGTCTTACTGCAATAGTGTATTATGACCTCCTGCTGCTAGGCATGTCCCTCCTCATCTATTCTTTACTCTCAGTCAGAGTGATCTTTCAGCAAAGAGGCCTCTGTCCCATAAGAAATGATCCTGGATTTCCCCCTTCACCGACCTCCTCTAAATTCCCCCAAATTATTTTATTCCTATGGAAGAACTTACAACTTCTGTTTTGTACTATAGGTAGAACTCAAAGAGATAAGCCATTCAAGCCATCTGCTGTTTTATCCACGCTCATTCCCAGAGAGTCCCACAGCGCTGCTAATTGGGTGTGAATCATGGATGGGACTCTGGACCCCCACCTCTGCTTGAAACTACTGATGAGGGAAAATACCTGCCTCAAGCTAGACCAGTAAGATTTTCCACCACAGAAATTCTGTATTGTGATCTAGACTTTAGTATGTAACTGCCATAGGACTGGCAGTACCATTTTGGGGCCATGTGTGCTGCTGTGCAGGTAGAAGACTACTGTGCAGAGAGAAGCAGAATAACACAGCTCATATGCAAAAAGGGGTAAAGAAAAGATACTGTGTGGTGGCTGGGCTAGTCACAGGGGTAAAAGAGAAACTGTGGTTCCTTTGTTGCCTTGTTAGTTCTGATTTTCTCATGAGACTTCCTCAATTTCCTGCTCACCAGCTTCTTATATTAATCTCTACTTTTATTTAAATTAGCTCAAGTGGGATTCCACTCCTTAGAATCAAATTATCCCTATGATATATGTATATGCAAAAATCCTTTTGCATTAGACTATAAGTTCCTTAAATAACGAATTCATAGCTTGTTTACCATTGTATTTCTCAGATAATATAGCACAGTACTTTACACATAGTTGAATCAAAACCTGTCTGGTGAACTAAACATAACTACAGAAGAGGTAAATGACTTTGAACTTGAATAATTAGAAGCAATTACATAGGCAAAGGAAGTCCAATACTTTCAAGGATAGAGGTATAGGAGTAGGGAAGAAATTCAGAAGGAAGCCACCTTAGCTAAACTTGACTTTTAGGGATAGTTTTTGTGGAAGCTAACCACACACTTTCGTACCCACAGCAGGTATTACCATCACACTCCTGGTCAAAGCCTGGCAAAGATAAAGGAGGAAACCTAGGCAGTCATAGCACAGCATGTTCTGATTAAGAAACGGTGACCTCAGTTCTTAAAGATCAGTAACGGATAACCAGAACAAAATGGCAAGGCGACCACCAACATACTCAACAGCTGCAGCCCTCACCCCTCGTACAACAGACGTCATCTGAGAAATTCATCAGGAAAACCTACCATATTTTAGTTCTTAAAATAAATTTTCTCTTTTTCACAAAGATTTTAAAAGGCATATTTTCATAAATGATAATTTTTATATCCTTATATTAAGAAGGTAGAGAAAAAACATGATGTTTCCATCTCAATATGATTATCTTCTTTTATTTTGAAAATTACATAATTAATATTTGACTATCATTTTTAAATATTATTTCTTTAGATCTAGCAAATGTGCTTGAGGCTTCAAAGCCTTAACTCCCTTTTTGTTGTATTTTACCTTCAAGAAAAGGGTTCCTGATGAAGTAATGGTTCAGCTATAAAAAAATAAAAATTAAAAAAGACCTAGAAGGCCATGAAAGTAATAAGAGAAACTCATACTATGAAGATTTCCTGACTACACCCTTACAACTTGAAAACTAAGGAAGCAGTCCAATCAAGTACACACAATGGGATATGACAGAAAGGCAGATAAAAAACAAGGCTGGATTTCCTGGTTTGATGTGAAAGTCTTCCTCTTTTACTGCCAAACAGAGTGTGGCTGCACAATCAACAGGACCAGGTGGCACAACCGTTACTGGGCCTTTTGATTTGATGGTGAGAAACTGGCAAGCTTGTAAGAAGGACTATTTAGGGCTCAAGGGGTTGACATCACTTTTGGATAATGAGTTAGGCTTTAAAATGATGACATTGCAATCACACCACTTGAGAGGAAAAAAAGAAAGTACAACTGTTCCTAAGTAGCTATGAGATCATTTAAATCACACCAATCTTCATATAACTGAAAAAGTGGCACAGGGTAGTGTTTCTTATATATGAAACACTCTTATATATAACACACACATTTGATTTGGCTTATTTTGCTAGGCATAAGAAGCTAAGTATAGAATAAACCTGATACAAGCAGCACATTGTAGCCATCCATTCAGTGCTGACTCTCCTAATCATAGGACATTCCCAGGAGGGTACATCCTGTACAAGTGAGATGACCAACAAGCAAGACATTAAACTAGAATAAAAGTAAATCAACAGGCTCTTTTCTAGATTGTATACCTTTATAGTCATTCCCTGTGAAGCATAAACCAGACATCATCTATAATAAACACTTAATGACATAGCTAAAACTTACTGCTTTTCTTTCAACATGAATACCAGTTCTAAGAAGAAAACAGGCCGGGCGCGGTGGCTCAAGCCTGTAATCCCAGCACTTTGGGAGGCCGAGACGGGCGGATCACGAGGTCAGGAGATCAAGACCATCCTGGCTAACACAGTGAAACCCTGTCTCTACTAAAAACTACAAAAAACTAGCCAGGCGAGGTGGCGGGCGCCTGTAGTCCCAGCTACTCGGGAGGCTGAGGCAGGAGAATGGAGTAAATCCGGGAGGCGGAGCTTGCAGTGAGCCAAGATCTGGCCACTGCACTCCAGCCTGGGCGACAGAGCGAGACTCTGCCTCAAAAAAAAAAAAAGAAGAAGAAGAAGAAAACAGGCATAGCATTTGGTCAAGCAACTAGGTCCAGCAGTTTCTTCAGATCAAAATGAAGTGGCCATCCATGATGTTCTGGGACTATGTCATATATATTTAAGTTAGATTGATTTCTGACAGCTTCCACAAAAACATGGTACCCCTTTCCATCTTACAATAGGGTAGTTTTTAATGCCATAGGCGAAATCAATACCGAAAAAGAATGCCATTCAAATATACCTTCATGTTCATATTTTAAAGCAAAGGAACCTGGGGTCTCCTGACTATGCCTAGACTTTGCATGGTTTAACACTAGCATCTGCAAGGAGAGGACTGGTTGTTTGATGCAATGAATTATCTGTGGTACACAAGTACAAATAGGGCACATGACATTAACTAAATAAGTAGAGGCTCAGAATATGCTCATGTTTTATACCAAAAAACAAAAACAAAAATGTGACTGCCTGGTAATTCAAGGAACATACAGGCAACCAGTTGAGGTGGCAGCTAAGAGTGACTTCTGAAGAATCAGGACCAAAATACACCAGAAACTATGCTTCAATAAAGAAATAATAATTAAAATACATAAAAAGTTTACCTAAAGACCACCTAAACTGAGTTCTGCCTGTCACCTGTGGTTTTTCCTACCAGAGATCACCTACCCCAGGGCAAAATTGCAGTCCTCCTTCCAGTCCACAATGCGGCAGATGAACAGTGTGTTGGCATAATCTTTAGGCCGTGCCACAAAGTCCTGGGGACAGTCCTTGAGAGGCACATAAATTCTAGGCACTCGGTGGTCTGAGGGAGAAAATAGGGCGTATTTCCTAAACAGTTCGCTGTTCTTATCAGCCAAGAGTTTGAGGAAGCCAGTTGCTGCTCGAGAATGTTTTTTCTCCAAGATGTAAACCACCTGAAAACACCAAAGATATAGTCAATGTTGTTTATCTGCAGTACTGAATTACACTTGGGAGAGGTCAGCAGGTTATAATTTGATCAACTAGCAGGAACCAGCAGTTTTTCTAGGTCAAAATAAATGCCTCTCAGTGATGATCTGTGACTAAGTAATCTATATTTAAGTAGCAACAAGTATCTAGTAAGCATATATATCCAAGAAAAATTATGCAATACATGGATGAATTAAATCAAAGAGCTTTTATTACCATGACCCGTGTCTTATAAAGACATGTGGGACTCCAGCAGGGAAGTATAGCTCCAGGTATTTGTTCCACATTATACTTTTCTCCCATGAGCAATACCAGTATCTCACAGAAACAACACGGTAGGTGCTTTTTGTAAAAGAAAAAGGGTTATTAGACATAAATTACTTCTCTTAATTATGTCTTCAACAGCTGAAAGGAGAAATATTTGATCTTCCTCCTTTCCAAGATTAAACCCAAGCTCTAATTTGACTAGATGAAGATTGAGGTCACCGCTCCACCACATACACATGCGATTTCCATTGAGAGAGAAGTATTCTCCGAGAAAACGAGTCTTCTCCCTCATCCACTCCCCACCCGCCGAACGCATTCCTCCTACAGTGCTTCCTTTCCCCACTGTAGCCCGTCTGCAGGTTCATCCCTTCCTCAGAGCTGCTTGCCGACATCCCACCAGACCCCTGAACAAAGATTCAACCTGCAGTTGAGCTGGCTGCTGTTCTTCTCTATGTCCCTGACTCCATATGGAATCTCAGCCCATTTGCAGGAAACCTCCAAACCAGTTGAGTGCACCACACCTCTCCCCCAGTCACTCCCAGCTACTACCCCACAGGAGAGCACCTTAGGGCACCCGTCTTCTCATGCAAGCTCACTCCCAAAACATGCTCTACTTTTTCCCTCTTAACTCTTCCTTCTTCCCTGAAAAACATCTATTTTAAACAAACTGCTGTACCCTCTTTCAAGAAGGCTGTGGGACGCCCCCCTCCCCCTTGCATGTAACTATCTGTCCTAAGGACTGTCTTCCCCAGCCCATTTGGGAAGAGGATGCTCCTTTTCCCACATACGGCCCCTGAAATTGGTGTCCGTGTTTCCCCATGCTGCACCGCCACGCCCAGACCTTTACTCTTCCAGCCTCATGCATGTATATGCACCCTCTTCTGGTTCAGGTGGTCCCCTTCTTGTTATTATCATCTCCTGGCCTCCTGGTTACTCTGTGAAATCTGGCTTACAGTCTGGCCCTCCCACGTCTACCCAGGTGAGTAACTTAGTCAACATCCTGTCCTCACCGTTCCCCTATCTCTTCAATGCCAGCAACCTTCACTTCTATTTGACTTCAGCAACTCGTCCTCATGGCCACACCTCAGCATCATCTGGAACTAGTCCAATTCCAACACCCGCTCTCTGATGAATCCATCACACAGCTCACTTGTTCTCCAGGCTGCACTCCACAGGCTTTTTCACCACATCAAGACTTCCAACACCTTTAACCCTTGCCTGTTCTCCAAGTCTGTTAGCTACATCTAAGCCTCAAATCCTTTCCTCCCTTCCCAGAGCCACCGTGTGTGTGTGCGTGTGTGTGTGCGCGTGCACGCACAATACCAATACCACATGCACACTTTTTTTTTTTTCTTTGGAGACAGCCTTGCTCTGTCACCCAGACTGAAGTGCAGTGGTGTGATCTTGGCTCACTGCAACCTCCGCCTCCCAGGTTCAAGCAATCCTGCCTCAGTCTCCTGAGTTTCTGGGACCACAGACATGTGTCACCAGTCACCACGCCTGGATAATTTGTTTATTTAGTAGAGACAGGGTTTCACTATGTTGTCCAGGCTGGTGTCAAACTCCTGACCTCAAGAGATCTGCCCGCCTCGGCCTCTGAAAATGCTAGGATTATGGGCATGAGTCACTGCATCCGGCCTTGAGCCACCATATTCTATCACCTCAAGTCCTCTCACTCAAGCTGTCAAATGCCTTCTCTTCTGATCCTTCCACCAACTCACCCTAAAAACCCTCAGTCCTGGAACATTTCAGGCACCAGTATTCTCTAACCTTAAACGCAAGGTATAGAGTTGATCAGCAAAGAAATTACAATTGTACAGATGGATAGCATTATACATTGTTATACACCTTTTGCTAGAACCTTAAATTCTCTGAAGATATATTTTCACCTGTCCCCATTCTGCACAATCTTTCCTTTCATCTTCACTCTCTTGATCCTCTCCCAGGGCTCCAGTTTTCTCAATGTTCAATCTTTTTGTTGTCCCACAACTCCCTGAGGCTCTGTTCAATTTTTTTCAGTCTATACTCTCTCTGTTCAGATTGGCTAAATTCTGATCTGTCCTCAAGTTCAATGATTCTCTGTTGTGTCGTCTCTACTACTGAGCCTATCCAATAGTGTTTTTACTTCTGTTATTGTACTTTGCAGGACTATAATTCCCATTTGGTCCTTTTTATAATTTTTTTTTTTTTCTTTTGAGACAGAATCTTGCTCTGTTACCCAGGCTAGAATATAGTGGCATGATCTCGGCTCACTGCAACCTCCGTCTCCTGGGTTCAAGTGATTCTCCTGTCTCAGCCTCCCTAGTAGCTGGGATTACAGGCACGTGCCACTGCACCCAGCTAATTTTTGTACGTTTTTAGTAGAAACAGGGTTTTGCCATGTTGGCCAGGCTGGTCTTGAACTCCTGACCTCAGGTGATCCGCCCACCTTGTCCTCCTAAAGTGCTGGGATTACAGGCGTGAGCCACCATGCCTGGCCTTTTTATAATTTCTAAATTTTTGCTGAGATTTTCTATTTTCTCAAAGGTTTCAAGAAAGTTTTTAATTGCTTATTGAAGCACTTTTATGATGGCTATTTTGAAATCATTGTTGGGTAACTGCAAGAGCTCAGTGCTGGTATCAAATGATTGTCTTCTTATTCACGTTGTGATCTTCCTGTTCTTGGTATGACGAGTGGTTTCCAATTGTATCCTGGACCTTTCGGTTATCATGTTAAGACACTCTGGGTCTCATTTAAATCTTTTATTTTAGAAGGCAGTCACACACCCTGTTGAGGTTTAGCATGCAGGTCCTGACCTACTTTTGTGGGCTGTAGTTTCAATGACAATTTCCTTGGAAAACAGCCTTTGCAGTGCTATCTTGGTATGTTTGGTTTATATGGTATCACTGGGGCTCCCGCTGGTCTCTACTGGTACTGCCTTTGTGGGTGGAAAGAAATTCCCCAAGCCAGGCCACCTGGTCTAAGTGTGGAATGGGGATCTCCAGCCTGCAAGGACAAAGAGGTTTCCCATTTTGGGTTTCTTGTTGTGGCAGGATCTCCTTTACTGGTGCTACCTGGCTGCCCAGTGTTTCTGAGTGGAAGAGGGAAGTCTCTGGTCCACAAGGATAAAGAGGTTTCCTGGACCACACACACATTATGACCAGATCTCCTTTGCTAATGCCACCCAGCTGCATGGTATCTCTGGGTGAAGGAGGGAAGTTCTCTTGTCTGTGAGAACATGGGGGCTTCCCATACCTGACTGCATTCTGTGGCCAGATCACCTTTCCTGGTGTTTTCTGGGTAGATGTCCAGCGTCTCTGGATATTCAGTGCCTCTGGGCAGAAGACAGTCTCAGCCCCACAGAAACAAAGAGGCTTCCTGGGCTGGGCCACTTCTAGAATCCTTCTTGTTGGAGCCACTCAGATACCTGATGTCTCTTGGTGGGAAAGAGAAGCTGCAGGTTCAGGGAGGAAGGAAAGCCCTTCTCTTAACCACTTATTGTCATTAGAGCTCTTTACAGGTGCTGTGGATTGCCTGGTATTGCTGGAGGGATTTCTGTTAGATCTGGGTGAGAATGAGTCTAGCTGGACCACCCTCTATTGCCAGGTTGGCATTCAGAAACACTGGGCTTGGGCCACCTTCTGTTGTTGCTGTTGTTGGTGGGGGGTTGTGAGATCCCTGCTGTTATGATGTTTCTCTAGTACTGGCGAAACTAGTTTGCCTTCCTCTTTTCACCTTTCAGAATTCTCCTTTGGTTGCCTCTTGTTTTTTCCAGGGTTTACAGTTATCCTCAGTGGGAGGAGCAAGAAAAAATAGGTCTATGCCATCTTGTCTGAACTGGAGATTCTTGTTTCTTGTTTTAATGTCTGACAGCACGAAAGTGTATAAAGTAGGTTGACATTACTACATTAGTTGCAATTCATACAATGTTAATTGTCATGAAAATGACTCTACCATAGCATAAGTTTCACAGGTAAGTGCTGTTTTGCCTTGTGATTTTTGGTTGAATCCACTAAAAACATTATCCAAAAGAAAGGGAGATAGGGACAAGGGAGAAGGGAGAGGGAAAACATGTTTGGAGGGCAGTAGCAAATCACAGAACACAGGTTCCAGGGCTGCCTCTACTCAGCTCTGACTGCAGTCATTTAGGAATTTGGCCCAGTGTTACCAAATGTTTTGTTTTGACAAGAGAAGCCAAAAGTCTAATTTTTAATGTGAACACCCCCACCCCCGCCCACCGATGACTCTTTTTTTTTTTTTTTTTTTTGCTGAAAGCAATGAAGTCAAAATTTTTAAATACTGCAAGGTCAAACAAAATAGGTCTGTGAGCCAGATCCATCCCCAGGCTTTCCATTCATTCTAATCTCCCACACCTAGCATGTTGCCTGGAGCACAGTTAGTACTGAAATATACAGAGTATAATTTAGAAATTCCTCATGTCGGTATGCAAGAGAAATACTCTACTAACCAACTTGCTGGGTAGAGTAAGCACACTGCATTCCCAGATGAAACACACTGATGGATGCTTCTGAAACATAAAGTCTCATGCCATTATGCCACTTTATACTTTGCCCTTCACCATTCCTACCACTATGAGCTATCTGCACAGTTAGAAGTCAGCTGTGTTTGGTCAAGCATGTGGGCTCACACCTGTAATCCCTGTACTTTGGGAGGCCGAGGCGGGCAGATCATGAGGTCAGGAGTTCAAGACCAGCCTGGCGAAACCCCGTTTCTACTAAAAATACAAAAAATTAGCCAGGCCGGGTGGTGCACGCCTGTAATCCCAGCTACTCGGGACGCAGAAGAATCGCTTGAACCAGGGAGGCAGAGGTTGCAGTGAGCCAAGATCTCGCCATGCACTCCAGCCTGGGCAAAAACAGTGAAACTCCGTCTCAAACAAAAAAAAGAAGTCAGCTGTGTTTCATCCCACATCTGAAAATGACACTAGCTTATATAATTAAAGAATACAAGTGAATTGTGCAAAATGGTGAAATAGGAATATAAAAACAATTGTTTCATAACTAAATTGAATACTTTGGAAAAACTAAAAAAGACATTAAAATTATTTTTAAATTAGGTATGGGCATGGTAACAATAAAAAAAAAAACTGGAGCAAAAACTGTACAAATCTGAAGAGAGTCTATATTCATACTTCTTCTCCAGTGTCTAATTCTCACTCCACTCACTCCACCAAAACTGGAAGTGATAAATGCTGCATTACAAGTGTGGTTTAAGCAACAAAGATAACATAGAACTCCAATCAACACACCCACACTCAAAGAAAAGGCCTTGACCCCTTATCCAAAGGCAGGCAGATGGATTCATATTTATATGTTTAAAGTTTTTTTTCTTTTTTTAATTCACTTTGTATGATTCTCTGCTCTAACTTTTCTGATTAAATGAACAAATACAGTCCTGACTGAATCACACAAGATCTTCAACAAGTAGCTCAGGTGAAAGCCATTTGGACATGTGGAGAAAATCTGTAGGCAATGACCTTTGCTGATCTTTGCAGGGATTTCTCCGGTAAAGCTCTTGTGTCTTGTGAAATGCAGGTGGTCTCATCTTTTGTAACTGGTGCATCACCATCCTCTCTTCCTACATTAAAAAGACAAAGAAAGAGAGAAGAGGAGGCATCAACTAGACGCATATCATTAGTGGGATTTTAAAATTCAATCTAGAAGGACGCTTGGATACCAGTTACCCCAAACTACTCACTTTACAGAAGAACCCCAGGCCCCCAGTGGACCTGTCACATACCTGTATTATACTCATACTGAGCATTCAGCCTCAGCAGACCACATTTTATCTACTTAACATTATTCACATACTATCATAAATATCATATAAGTGGAGAACATCAAACTATGCTGAATTAAACTAAATAGCCTGTGTGTCAGAATGCCAAAAACCTAGATGTTAAATGCTGCCCCAGCCCAAAATGAAGAATAGAGATAGGTTAATTTATTATGCACATCTGCTGAAATAAAACAAAATCATAATAAATGTTAACTTTTAAAAGTACTTTGGTACCAGCCATAACAAACAAAATGGTGGAAAATAGATTATATTTATTAAATAAATAAATTTTAAAACCCAACCCTGATTTTCCTGGCTTTTTCTTAGTGACATTATGTAAAGAGTAAAGTACTTAAAGTCTTTTAATGTTTAATTTCCTTTCTTAAAAAACTTATAAAATGCACATTCACCCAAGAAACTGAAACCACATCTCCCGAGGAAAGAGGCAGTTAGGCTCTCTACCAGAAGTATTAAAAACACTCATGAACAAAAGTAGCAAATTACACACTTCTAAACATTTAAAATTTTGAATCTTTACTTGTTAATTAGATTTCCCCACAAAATATTCTTATCCAACTATGTTAGGGATTCTGGATTCTAGGGGTCACAACCAATTTACATGGGAGCCTCTCCAGAGAGCTAAGAGAAACTTGCACTTATCATCATTTAGGTGTTGCCAAGGCCAAAATAAATAAATAAATCCTTTTCAGGACTGGCTGCCTTTTAGCAAAAACTCAACTTAAAGCCAACTTTTACCATTCTGGGCGTACTCTGGAAACACTGACATGATCTGACCTACCAGGGTTTAAGAATGATCAACTGTTTGCTTTTCCATCTATGCTGAAATCTACCTACTGAAGTGCCCTCTGAATGCAGAATCCTCATTGTTTTCCAAAAAGTAAAAGCAAACACAAACTTTCCTATTGTAAATTGCCCTATCAGTGAAAGAGGACATCAGCAAGGTTCATCTTTTCTTTTAAACCCATAAATTCAGGATTCCAAAATCGTCAGATGCTTTTAGAACATTTTTTATAATTGTAGAGAGAAAAAAAACCACACAGGTTGTTGATCTGTTTGTTCCATAACATATCTCACCAACGTGCTCTGCAGAACAAGGTAATTGAGGAAAAACATCAAAGCGTGGAATTACCATGAATAAGTATCCTCTACTTAGATATTTGACACTAGTTGGTCTCAAATGCTAGCAATCAAGACATTGCAGTGAGAGGACTGTGTTTCCAAGGCAGCCTAAATCCTGGGCAAACAGCCTTCTGTGATGATCACTGATGGCTCCATCTTCAAATGATCGTTGCCTCAAATTCCATCCCAACAACAGCAAGTCAACTATTCAAAATGTTATACCAAATTACATCTAAAGAGAGAAGGCAAGCTATAGAAGTGGGCCCAAGCATGATTTTCTATCAGACTGAACATGACCTTTTCAGGTTCTATATTCAGAAGGGTATCCTGGCAGAAATGAGGCTTTGTTCAGACAAAGTTACATTCTAATAAATTAAACCAAGCTTTAAAGCCTTACAGGTAAGAATCATAGATAATGGTCAATGGATATAAAGAAACACAATGTCAGGATGAAAAGGTGAATCACCTTAATACATTTCCAACAACCATGTCTTGCCACACTGAATAGTAAAGTTGTCGGCTGGTCTAGGGTGGCTCATGCCTGTAATCCCAATGCTTTGGGAGGCCAAGGCAGAAGGATGACTAGAGCCTTGGAGTTCAAGACCAGCCTGGGCAATATGGCGAAACCCTATCTCTACTAAAAATATAAAATTTAGTTGGGCATGGCAGCGCTTGCCTATATATCCCAGCTACTCAGGAGGCTGAGGTGGGAAGATCACCTTAGCCTGGGAATTCAAGGCTGCAGCGAGACGAGATTGCACCACTGCACTCCAGCCTGGGCAAAAAAGCAATAACCTGTCTCAAAAAAAAAAAAAAAAAAATAGCAAAGTCGTCAATTTAATGAGACTCTACTACATTGTTTAATCATAAGATCACTTATTATTCATTTATTCCATGTGTATTTATTGAACACTGGGCATTGAAGATCCAGTGTTAAAAGAAATATGATCCCAGCCCTATAGACTAATGTGGGAATATTATATAAATAATCACTCAATAATTAAAAATTATAGGGTGGGCATGTTGGCTCACACCTGTAATCCCAGCACTTTTGGAGGCTGAAGTGGGAGGATCACTTCAACCCAGGAGTTCAAGACCAGCCTGGGCAACATGGCAAACTCTATCTCTGCAAAAAATACAAAAAAAATTCGCCAGGTGTGACAGTGTACACCTGTGGTCCCAGCTACCTGGGAGGTTGAGGTGGGACAATCACTTGAGCCCAGGAAGCAGAGGCTGCAGTGAGTCAGGATCGTGCCACTGCACTACAGTCCTGGCGACACAGTGAAACCCTGTCTCAAAAAAAAAAAAAAAAAAAACTGTGATAAATGCTAAGAAGGAAAGAATAATCCCAAAAAGAAGCAGGAAAGGACATATGATTTAGATTAGAGATCAGGGAAAGAATTTAAATTGAGACATGAGAATGAGAGACCCAGGATAGGAATGGCACACAGGAAAGGGCAAAGGCAGGAAGTTCTTCACACAATCAAGGACCAGAACAAAGACCATGAGGCATGGCTGGAGCACAGTCAGCAAGAATGGGCATGGCTAGAGATGAGAATGAGAGGCAGATGGGTGCCAAGTCAGGTGTGGGCCTTGCAGAATACAAAAAGCCAGAATTTAAGTACAACGGCAAGATGGTTGAGGATTCTGTGCAAGACAGCAACACTGCCCAGGGCAAGATAAGAGCAGGCTAACAGTGGGTGTAGGGAGACCAGTTAAAAACTACTGCAATAGTCAAGACATGAGAGGATGGAGCTGTGATGCAGGCACTGGAGATGGAATTAGGATATATTTTGGAATTGAATAGTCTTGGTGATAATTACATATGAGAGCTTAAGGATTATCAAGAAGTCAAGGATTATTTCCAGCTTTCTGACACCAGCAACTTGGTGGATAGTGGCATCACTTATGGCACAGGAAAGACGAGAAGAAGGTGTAAAGATCAATAATTCTGTTTCGGAGGTGGTTCTATTTGAGAGGTCACATATGAGACTTTTAAGTGAAGAAACTGAGTAAGCAATTCAAAACGAAGGTCTGGAACTCAGAAGATAGACCTGGGCTGTTGCTTTACATACAATTTATATGCTGAGAAACTTTCCAGCCCAAGCTGGAGAGAGGATATTCAAATGCAGATCTGTGCAACCACTAAACCCATGAAACTCTTCCAGTGCACCACACTGCTATAAGCAAAAGTAAGGGATAATGTTCTATCGCTGTTAATGAAGAAAACTCACTGAGGAAGTGAGTTGAGGCTTGAAGGATATATAGATATAGATGTTTCAAAGAGAAATAAGGAAGTTGAAGGCCACTCCAAACAAAGGCCAGAACTTATGAAAGGCCTAGATCTATGAGCAGGCCTGCCATGGTAAAGGCCCAGTAAAAGATTTATGGTAGCTACTAACAGGTTGGGGGACACAACGCTGCATTGGGAGGGACTAGAATAGGGGGGAAATAAGGCTGGTAGAATGGCCCCATGGGAGGGACTAGTTACTGCCCAATTATCCAGCCTCTTCTTTCCTAGCAAAAAGAATTCCAATTTTTAGCTGGGCATACTGCCGCCTAGTTAAAAGGCCACATCCCTCAGCCACTTCCTTGCATGTCTACATTTTAGGCAACAAGATCCTGGGGAAAGTGTGTTGTTAGTGACTTCCAGGAATACCCTTACAGGGCAGAGTAAGGGTATTCCTTCACTCTCTTCTCAATCCTGCGGCCTGGAATATGGATTTGATAGCTGGGCCTTGAACACTCATCCTGGTCCCAGAGGCCACAGGTCAAGGGTGTTTTCTACTCTGCAGAGCAGCACAACAGAATGAGCTGAAGACTGTGGAGCTATCCTACAAGCCCTGGCCTGCCTGTCTCTGATCTTCTTCTACGTGAGATAGAAATTAACTTCTTTCTTGTTTAAGTCATTAATATTTCAGGATTTAATGCTATTTTCTACAGAATATACTTTCTAACATACAGGCCCAGACAATGAAACTGACAAGCTAGGACACTATCCTATAAAGCATTATAAAAGCCAGGGCAATTCTTCTCTTGAGAGTTATATATCACACATGTATTTTAGGGCTATGAATTTGGTAGCACTCTGGAATGAAGAGACAATGGTAGCAGAGATCTTAGAAAGCTAAGGTTAGAATCTAGGTGAGACACAATCAGAACCCAAATTAAGATAGTGGCAGTGATTTAAGTCCAAAGCTGACAAATCCAAGCTTGTTCAATCTCTGAATGAAGGGCCACAGAAATTTACAATTTCCAAAGAGAATTCAATGAAAAGAATGCAATATGTATTTGTAAATGAAAATATGTCCCTTCTGGATCTCTCAAAACCAACACGGAAAACTTATCTTACGGGCCCCCCACTCTCCAGTGAAATGTAGAAATGATAGCACAAGTCCTCACAGGGGCAAGGCAACATACACTGTGAATAATCATTTGTGATGCTGCACGCTTGCTGGGCATACCGAGTGCTTAGGATCATTCTAGGACCCCACATCTAGCTCCTGTTAAGGCAAAGACTTGGGAGGGACAGTCTTCAGGAGCACCAATAAGCTCCTTTCTTCACAAAATCCCTAGGCCTAAGCAAATTTCACTCTGATATAGAGCTAGTGAAAATGTATGATGCCAAAGAATTTTCACAGCATGCTCACCTATATTAC